TCCGACAGCCTCAGGTGCTCATTCTGGATGAAATCACCAGCTCTCTGGATGACGACAGTGAAAAGAAGGTGAGAATAATGAAACTGTTACAGTAAATGGCCAATATTCTAGTACTAATGTATTAATGAAGTAATGTATTAGTGAAGTGAAAAAACAACAAATGTACATGTGGTTTCAACTATACAAAAGTATTACTGTCATATAGAAAATGATGCAGTAGCTAACATGAATAGTCTATCCAATATTTAATTCATTTATGACAGAAATACATCAGTGGCATACATACTTAGTTTTGTATATAATACATTAAATTAATAACTCAATTGTGAATATAGACTCAAAGTATTGACCTAATATTGCCTTCAAAGTTGCCCTTCAGTTTTATATTTGGCATCGTGGCAACTCAGTGACTGTTTTTACCTGAACAGGTTCAACAGGCCCTGGCTCAGTGCCCAAACCAAACGCTGCTAGTGATCGCTCACAGACTGAAAACCATCGAGGGGGCGGATCAGATCGTTGTTATCGGCAATGGGAGAGTCCAGGAGAGGGGGACTCACCAGGAGCTGATGGACATGAAGGGGCATTACTACAGGCTGAGGGAGAAACTTAGTACAAACGGCCACTCACCATAATCGTACAACAGGGGCACCCATTTGCCCATTCTATTAAACCTTTTACCAACTGCTCTTAGCAAGTGTATTTTGCACACCTTTATGCCAGTTTGAATAGTGTAGGAAATGGCTTCTGTTATATATTGGGTTATAAATTTGCCTAGATAGCGTTTATTTCAGATGGGGGCAGGTCAGACAACTGGATATTCTTTCTCCTCCACATCTGAGGGTTAGAAATCTGAAAACAACTTCTACATTGTACAGTCTATGCCAGTATTTATTAAGCTGTGGTAAAGGACTAATTTTGCTGAATTTAGAGCATTTTATGTACAGTTCTATTTTATGTACATCTATTTGTGATGTTTGAAGCTGCTTTGCTTTTGTTCATGTCTAAGTCTATCAGCTCAAGTACTAAGGTTATTTCACAGACCTGTTATGCACTTATGTATTAGAGTGAATAATTATATGTCAAATGTAAATAATGTAAAAATGCAATGAATGTTTTTTTTTTTTTTTTTCACTTAAATAAAAATCATAAAACATCTCATTATTAGTAAGTTGTATTCATTTTACATGTATTGGTCTTTATATTGGGTCTCAGATTACACCACAACATTTTATTGGCCAATAATACTTAATACAGCTCAAATGTCTTTGAGCCTTGTGAAAAACATGAGAAAAAGAGAACTTGGAAATTCCATGCACAGTTTTGGCTACATGTTGCCTGGAAATCCAGAAGGATATTTCTCTGTATTTGTTATACAGCTCCAAATCTGCTCCATATCCACATCAGCCACTGGTACAGCAATGAGTCTGGATTCTTCCAGGCAAGGCTGCCTGATTTCAGACCTCATGGAAAATGCAGTCATTTAGTGAAGAAATTAAAATATAAAAAATGTTTCAAATTGAATAAACGATCTATGGAGCGCAATGCCAGATATATGCAAAAACAAAAAAATGCACCAAAGTCAATCTTCTCACTAATTAGTCACACACAAAAAATGTTGCATTTAGTTCAAATTTGCTGCACATAGTATTGGGCACAAACTGGCATCTAAACAGTTAATTATTTATGTAATGTATAGAATCAATATTGCAATGGAAAGAGAACCCCTTCAGCAAAATAAATAAATAAATAAATTTAGAAAAATATTAATCTTTGATGATTTTATGGCAGTTTTAAAACCAAAGTACACAATTTGTACAAAACACTGTGACTTTTTTCAAATTTACTTTTCTCAAAGTCCATATTCACACTGAACATCCACACTAATAGCCCAGTCACACTGGCCGTATTCAGAGAAAAAAATAAGTTATTCAAAATTAGTGTAGGCTATATAACAAAAAGTGGTATCTAAAGGGTTAATTATTTACATTACAAAGTAAATATGTAATATTTAAAGAGAACCCATTAAGGAAATAAATAAATCTCTAAAAAATATTAATGTTTGACGATTTTGTGGCTATTTAAAAAGCGAAATATACAATTTGCACAAAACACTCCCAGTATACACACATTTACAACAAGGCACCTAGGTTAAATAGCACTTTTCTTTATAGCGAGTTCTTTGGTCTAGTCAGTAATATAAATGACCAGGTTCAACATTTGTGAATTTACCTTTTATATATTTCTTATTATGTGAATACAATATACTCAAAACTGGCTCTTGATCCCCATCTGGGAGTATGACATCATTACATTCAAGAATCTGAAAATCACAAATAAGTATCACTTTAATTACTTGTATTGTACATAGAATTAACACAGCTTCATTTAGAGGAAGATCAAAAGAGAAACTACAATTTACCCTGGACAGCCCCTTTTATTGATTGTTTATGGACATATTCTTGGCAGAGAAAGCTGCTTGGCAAGGTATACGATAAGGGCAGAACAGTGGTGTGATTATAGCACCAGCCCTTTCACCAACCCTTTCCAAAAGCTGTCGCCATTTTGTGAAAATAGGCTTCAAATTATTATAAAATGGCGTCCAACAGATAGCCTACTGACCAGACACAAATGAGGTGTTTTGACCATGCCTCTCAGAAACATCACATAACTGAAGGAAAATAATATATTTGTTTATATAGTTACTTTGTTTATTATTTTGTCTTTTATCTATACATGGCTAACTCTTTACTTAGATGACATTACAAATAATAAACAAAATAAACATAATAAAGTAATAATATATGTATTTTTTACTTTTCATTGTCATTGTATCATTGAACCTGTCAGCAATTTTACAAAAAATGTGTATAGTATGGCATTGTCTTGTGTGAGTGTCAGCATAATTTTTGCATTACAAATATAAACTTCCCTTGCAATGATGTGAAAGTGAAAACACCAAATGGACGCCGCCATTTTACGGTTAAAGTTAGAAAACAAAATGGATGACTATGACATGGTTGCATCTTTTTTTTTTTTTCTTTATTAGTAATTCAATTCCTATAGTGTGTGTTGTACTTGATGAGCTAACTACAAAGTGGTGCATGTAACATAATGATGACAAGTTAATTTGCCTTTAGGTATTTGCCAAACCAGTTGAGCACCATAGCTTTGCACCACACCACTGCAGAGCTGGAAAATCCCTTCCCCAGTTTCTTTCACTTTTGTTGGTGCTGCCTATTACAAACAACTTAACTGAATAATGTGTCGTGTGAGCAAAATGCTTTCATTTTAATATTAGACTTTTGAGATAGTATTGGATTACTATAGGAAAGCAAAATAAAGCATCATCTGTCACTTACTGTATGGCTTGCTAATTACAAATTGATACACCAAGCCAAACAATCTACCTTTGAATCCAAGTGTATAATTCCATTGACACATTCAAACCTTAAGATTCCTATGAAATTAGATGATTTTCTCACAACCTCAATATAACATGATATAATAAGAATAGAACACATGCTCTAACTGTAATATTGTAGACACTAAAGACTAAGAGAGAAAAAAAATGTTTCTATTTGGATTCTACTTTTCAGGCTGTTCACAAAGTATAATAAAACAATAAAAAATAATACACACTGATTTGTGAAAGCCCCAACTACATAGTGCCAATTTCAAGTCTAAAGATCAATGCTATTAAATGATAAAAAAATCAAGAAGGAACATACAAAGTTCATTTTAGGAGTAACAGCACAACAGTTGGTAAAGTTTGGTATAGTTTCTCCATTACCACATGACTTCCTGTAAATAGGGGATTTGCCAAAACTACCCTTCAAATAAATTGCCATTTACTGCCATCTAGTGAAAAAGAAGCCATCAAGATTTGAACCAAATAAATACAGTGGCTCATTGGGTTTTAATTGTTTATGACACAAATTCTATACACGTGGATAGAAAGATTTTTAGCCAGTTACCAAGGCAGTTATCCCCAAAAAAGCATGAAAAAGAATTGCTGACTAAAAACAAAGGAGCAAACAATGTATACTTTAATAGATTATAACATTTGTTTATAGACCGCTAGTGCCTTAAATAACTGGGAGACTATAAGAAGCCCATACCACTGACTAGACAAAGTGCAAAAGCACCCCAAGTGTTTAAAATAAAAACCAAAGACAAGCAAGCAAAGCAAGCATGTGATTTACAACCAACAAGACTGTCACTAAAAGACAGGTGACTGGGCTAAATATAGCAACAATGACATACATTATCAATACTTTATACATGATAGACTAATTACAGAGCTAAAACACTACAAAACAATAGGCATATTAGAATGAAAAAGGTTGACAGAATTAGACGGTACAAAGAGCCAATTGGAGGTAACATGGAAATGTATCTTACTAGATTTAGTTTTATTTTGAAGAGACAATGTACAGAGATGTTTTGCACCAGCAACAGATTATAGCAAAAATAATTTCCATGAGGAATTAACTAATTTGTTAAAATGCTTGTTAAAAATACCAGTAAATGTTTCTCCTTAATCACCAGAGGGCGACATAACACAATGTGTAGGTAGCCTAATGGTGACATAATTTTACATTTGTAATAATATTATAAAAAATAGTTCTTATCTTGACTCAGAGCAGGTGCCCTCTATCTCGTATAAGAAATTCTACTAATGACAGCTAACTTAAGCCCAGGACATGTTTCTAATAATCCTTTCACAGGAAGCACTATTTGACATTGACCATAAAATCCTGATCTGATTAGAAATTCCTCTGACTGTTGTTGTAACATCACCTGGAATCTGAAAATATAAAAAGTCAATTTTAATGTAATATAACAACAAAATTACAGATTTAATGCAATATATTTATATTTGCCTATTTTTTTTAGATGTTGCTCTCACAATTTTTTAAGCAAAAATAGATTATGTAACACAAAGGTACAGTGAGAATAACAATAAACCCTGAGGGAAATTTATCTTTCCAGCATCTGCATTACAGTAACTGAAAGAGACATAAGACAGCATACAGAAATTCACATAGATGAATAAAAGAAACTACAAGAGTTGAAGAAAGTGATACTAAGGGTGTTACTTATTCCAGA